AAATGACAAAAATGAAGTTCAACAAAGATGGTGTATTAGGTAGGGTGAGCGGAAGCAAGTTTGCGCTTAGCTGCAGTCAGGGTTACAGCAGTTGCTGTCACTGCTGGAGACGGTACATTTTCTCCATGGAAAAACGAGACCCAAAACATTTTGACATTACATTTGAACTTTTAATGGTAAAAATTAGTTCACAAAGACAAGTTGAACAATGAGATTTTTTCATACTCTTGGGGGTAAGGAAAAGTCCTGGAAAATCAAAATGACGATGGGCTCCCCATGGTCAAAACAAAGGAACCTGCATTTTACTCATGGAAAATAAGCTGTTTTCGATATCCCAATTTTCGCGACATACACTGCATGGAGAATTCAATATTTCAGCCTAAAATATTGAATTCTATAGATGTATATTTTTTTCACAAGTCTTAGCTAAAATATCAAAATATTATTCTTAATATTATTTCAATACACTTGTTTATCAAAAAAAAAAATTTAACATTTTCCAAATATTATTATTGTTGATATTATTCCTATATTTTTGTGTGATATATAAAATTAATATACAGTTATAAATTTTAATATTGTAGGCTACTTAGGAAGGAAGGAACTTTTATTAGCCAACGGTGCTCCTTAACAGAAGTGTACCGGCATCCGTACTACAGCCTCCCCGTCCGTACATTGAAACTAGCAACTAACTACTTAGAATATTGAATTCTCCATGCAGTGATACCAAGGGAAGAAAGGTCACAACATTTTCAGAAGACGGGTTCCGTCTTGAAAGCGAACCAGTCCCAGTGCGTTTAGTTTGACTTGATCTCACTACACGAAAATAAGTGCAACGTAATTTTGTTTCAGATTAACGGAATTGATGCCAGGTGCATGAACGGGAGTCAGCAACCTAAGAGTCTGCCCAGAAGTTGGCTCAATCATGATACACGGTGAACAATTGATGGCATGTTCATGTAAAAGGACCGTTCTCCTACGTTTTCGTGAACATGCCGTGTGTGGTACGAACGAAGTTCAACGAACCCTGGGTGAACTCTAATAAAGGACAAACTTGCCAATTTGGGATTGCAAGGTTCATTCGTATGACACTGTGATACGAACAAAGCCTGCATCGCATGCATGTCGCACGAACGAAATTCGTTGGACCCTGGCCGAACTCTAATAAAGGGCGAACTTCCTAATTTGGGAGTTCGCGCAGGGTTCATTCGTATCACTGCACTCGGCGATATGTTCATGAAAGCTCAAGAGCGGTCCTTTTACATGTCGTCAATATAGCCTATGTGACTTGCTATATTTATCTCGTCCATCCTGGAACTATAAAGCATCTACCAGCCGCCCATGGCCATTACTATAGTGTTACCTTCTTTCTACAGTGTATGCGGAACCAAGTGTACTTATAGCGTTTGAAACCGCCTATTCACACGTATCTCCGGAGTCTGGACTAGAGGCATTATGCTCTGCTTAGAGGATGATATTATCAGTTCCGTGACAGATCACCCAGCTCCCCAAGAGCTCGACGCGCAGCCGGGAAAGGAACACGGCATGGTCAATTCTTCAATATTGGATGTAGGTAGATACTTGCTTCTATCGACCTCAATATTGCTGATCAGTAGCCACAGCCGTGCCTTAGCCCCGATCGAATTTGGGCCGTTCTCATCGGAATCGACGGGTATTTATCGTATCCACTGCGTGGCTGTGTGGCAGACGCGTTGACAATGGAGCAATACCTTGTCGACGACCTCCTCGTGCCTAGGGAGCGAATCCAAAAGCTTTTGGGTCCAGCACGCTCTGGCGACACATCCACCGATGTTTCCTCCATCCCATCCCGTGCCAACGTCATATCCCTTCTCCACAGTCTCATCACGAACCCCAACATCAAATGCGGTGACCCAATCATTATATTTTTCTCCGGACACGGCTCCCGCTATTCGTTGTCAGATGATGACGATGATCCGGATTTCGATGAGGAGCTCGACGATGAACGCTCTGGAAAATATGTTGAGGCGCTTTGTCCCATGGATCGTAACACCCTCGACAGCAGTGGCGCGCTCATCCCTGATATCACCGACCGGGAGCTCAATACTATCCTCGCACAAATTGCCCGCACGAAAGGAAATCGAATCACGTTCATCCTGGACTGCTGTCACGCAGGCAGTGTCACTCGAACACTGAGTCCAGGAGTGCGGACTGTTCCCCCGCTGGAGCGTGCCTCGCTCAAGGATATGCTCCTCGCTGCAGAAGAAGCCCTCAGAGATCTCCCTGGTTATCGATCCGTCTTCGCAGAGGACTGGGTCCCAGACATGGATTCCCATGTAATCCTAGCAGCTTGTATGGGAAATGAGATTGCGAAAGCGAAGCGGGTAAGAAAGATGGGCACGGAGGTGTGGGGAGGTGTCTTTACGAACTTGCTCGTCAAGACTCTGAGGTCTGGTGTGTTGGGAGGGGAAGCGACGTATGCAAACCTTATTGAGGCTCTGCCACCACTCCATTTTCAGACGCCAAACGTGGCAGGAAGACACAAGGATACACGTCTTTGGTATCAGGTTTGATGTGGGTCTCCAGTTCTGGGAAGTTGGGCTTCAAGCTTTATTAGTTGGTTTTGATTGAATCGATGTCCGTAGAATCGCTTAGTTGATATAAGATTCGTAACAACGCAAGTGCTGGTGGTACGTTCACTGAGAAGGGACCTAGAGACCGGTTCATGGTTTGCGTCCAATTTCATCACTGCTCTGAATGCTAGTTCTCACCTGATATCAAGACTCCCTGTATACAATCCCTTTCACCATAGGTGGGTGCATGAGGCAACTGTTACTTGAACGGTAACCGCGGAGCAGGTTATGGTCAGGAATCAAAGAGGATATTACCACGTGGTCGGTCTGACTCGGACTTGATCAAAACTATCGCCGATCTCTGTCATCTATACTCCGTCACGTTTCCAGCGACTCGGATGAAGAACGACACAACTCCAGGACCAAACGGAAAAAGAGGCGGTGCATGCAACCACCTTCGCCACTTGCTTCCGCGGGGCCTTTCTCATGGCGTTGATCTCACGTTCCACAGAAGCAGATCAAGTCCCACTGAACAGGCTCAAGAACGCTGAGATTACTACACAGGGAGCTCAAGATATTCATGGTTCTAGAGACGAGGGCGATTGGGTTAGGGTGTAGTGTCTGGAGATAATAGAGGTAGATCTTGTTCTTCTTGACAAGACTCTGACATCCTTGCTAATCTTTGAAAGCATACCACATTCATCGATTCTGCGCGACCACGAAGGATGGATGGGGCACGGACGCAGTAGTACACCTAGCCGGAACATGGAGCTGTTTGGTTTGCGTACACCTCGATATGGCTACGAGTCGATGCTTTTTCGTTCGATGTCTCGCCCTCCTTGTCTACTGCGACGAGTGATGATGACTCGCTAACATACGTCGAAAGAACAACCCGGCCACATCGTCTTTGACGTCAAGACCTACCGTGCGTCCAGGGAGGCGCTCATCACCGTCCAGCTCGTCCCAAAGCTCGAGAAACTCAACATCGGTGTTCCTGATGCAGCGACGCTCTTCGCCCGGGACACCATCGTGCGCGGGCTCCCTCCTGTCTAACCCCTTCCCCACCACTGCCCACCTCTGGTCGCCGAAAATTGCCGAAGAGATCCACTCGCAGCTCCTCGCTCTTGCAGAGTCTCTCGCGAAGGATTACACGCAGCACAAGCTACTTGGCGGGCTGTCGACGGACCATGGGCTGTGGAAGAATACCGTGGCATTGGGGGTGGACGATGAGGCGCTGTGGGAGGTCCTCCATGCGGCGTGGGGCGTGTATCTGACAGCCGCGGGTTGGACGGACAGTCGTCTTCACCTCAGAAAGGGCGAGCTCATCCCGGGTTACCAGTGATTATATGCGTTTATGCTGTCGATTCTTGCTCTCTTGTTTAGCTTTCCATTCCCACGTCGCATATGTTGTACACCACGCACTCGCATCTACTTATTACTACTTATGATGAATATGATCACTTGTACTACAATTCTCTTGTGTGATTTGAGCTCAACTTGAAGTCAACAATACTTCAAGCTTCAGTTGGCAAGAGTACAGAGGACCGCATGGAATATTGGTGCAACAAGGGGGAATTGAACCCCCGGCGGTCGACGGATGCAGATGGTCGCTATCTCTTCCTTTCTGGCCACACAGATCTTTTACACGAGTACTCCCTCCTCGATCTTGTTCTTGCATTTAGGAGCGGCATACGTTCCAATTCTGGTCCCGTTGTCAGGCCTGGAGAGAAGGTTTGCCCTTGGGAAGAGAGACGGTACAAGGTACGTGCACGCTCTATTTCCCCGCTACCGCAGCCCCAACCCTGTCCTGCCAGTTCCTTCAACTATCGTCTCCTTCCATGGGACCAATCTAGCAGAGATCAAGTCCCATCCAAGAACGAGATTGCTTATCCTGAGGACCGTGACTACACCTTGGTGTAAACGAGGAACGACGCCAACGACGGTGCATGCGCTGTCAATTCCCTACCGCTCTCGCTATCTGCTTCCGCGGGACCTTTCTCGTGGCGTCGATCCCTGGACCCTGGCGCCCCATCCAACCGCGGCCCCGAATCCAGGACCGTACGCCGATGGACCCTCCACTTGGCCTTTGGTATGCGTACACTTTGAGATCGGACAGGCGCAACCCAGAACCCGCGCGACAAGGCTTACCTTGAGCCCAAACCGCGACTTCGAGTCCTAACCCCCCACATGTCTAGCACCGCTCGCAGTCTCTTTTCTTTTGGGTCCGCTCCTCTACAGGAACCATGGGAGGTTGAATACCTTACTACTCTCCACATCGCTCTGTTGTGATATACTTTGTCGTTATATATTTTATAGCTCATGCTTGATGTTCAACGTCCAACTTGTACTCAAAATATCTGGTCTCTGGTCTCTGGTCAGTGGAAATTTGATCGTTCGATATTAGAATTTAGAATTAAAATTAAAATATACAGTCAACAGACACCTGTATACATCAAGAGGGAATCGAACCCTCGGCGGGTCGATAAAGTCGCCTGTTGCAATATGCCGTTCATGGCAACGACCCAGGTTACCACTACTCCATTGATGAGGACGATTCTTGATTCTTCCTTGCTTTTTACGTGGGTACTCCCTCCTCGGCGCGCACTCTTCTCTCTCAACCCTTGTGTGACCTTCCATGCCTCCTCTTGTGTGCGACGGTGTTCCCTTCCGAAAACTCGCACCGCAAGAGGGACGATACAAGCTGCGTACAAGGTGTATCTCCCTGTTACCGTGACCTCAACGCTATTCTGCCAGTTCCTTCCCGTCAACTATTCGATTCCTCTCGCGGCGTCGAGCCCCGAGCTTTTCTACTTCCACGGGGCCAATCTAGGTCCCTGTGGGATTGCTTATTGGAGGATGTTCAGTCTACTAGTTTGCTTCCGCGGGGCCTTTCCCATGATGTCGATCCCACGTTTAAAGGATTCGGAAGCAGATCGAGTCCCGCTAGATCCTAAATCTTTACTTCACATTCTTCGACTGCCGTCTCTCACCTGTCGAGCAAGTAAAAGAATACCGCTGCCGTCAAGAAGCATTCAAGAATCCTCCGCAGGACCGGTATGACTAGCAACTGAGAACAAAAATGACGTTTTCGAGATGGACACGACAATAACAAGAGGGCCCTAGTATACTGAAGGATTGGTAGAGAAGGCCATGATAAGGATTTACTAAGGAGGTCAGGAAGTCATCTCTCAGTGTGCAGATCTGACAAGAAACACGAACATTTCTAGCTTTCGAGAAATAAACCTCTCGCGTAAATTGACAATAACTATTACTCAAAATAGATTTGCGGAACTAAGGGTTGAAGCTCAAGTCGGAATCGCGGTCCGATGTCGAACACACCGCCTCTACCTCCATCCCCCTTTCCAGCCTTACCTTCCAGTTTTCCGGGAGCCCTCAGTCTGAGTCAATTTTCTAGATTCAGTCTGAAACAAATTCTCTTCTCTGCTTTGGTTGATAATCACCTTCCTGAGACACTAAAATTTTGTACTGGTGTTCTGCCAGTTCCGAGTCTTGGGATCTCTCGCTGGAGGTCATCTGATATGACAAGGTATACTCTTGTATAACTAATCGAGTATTCGAGGATGTCACCAAACTCGAGCACCATTGCAAGGTCACATTCGTCGACGGACATTCGCAAAGTATACCTCCTTTGCGCTGTCTAGCCACTCTTCTTTCAGAAGTAAGCATCCGGATCACTTGGTATAAAGCTCGATCACTGAGACGGAAACTTTCTCTCACCGCCTCCAGAGTGGTCGGGTGACTAGATCAAAACTCCATAATGTGGAGTAACCTCCCATATAAATTGCAGGAGACAGCGCTGCCTTCAACCACACAAATCATCGAACAACTCAACTGAACCAATCGTCTCTACAACTGCAATCGAACAATGACCAACGTACTCCCTATTGAAGTACTTGCCCAGATCATCGAGGAAGCATGGGCACTTCCTCTCACACCTCTCGAACGACTCAGAACGACGACATCATTCGTCCTCGTCAGCAAAGCGTTCGCTTGGGAGTTCACACGCGTATTCTCTACCGATGTCCATATCTTTACGCACTCCCACCTCAATCATGTCATCGGCCGTCTCTTGCAACGAGACACAGTAGCCTTCCGGTCGATCGATTCGTCGTTTACGCCATCAGAATTCTGTCGGTCCATCTCCTTCGTCCTCGAAGTCGATCCCTATGGCTCCAATTCCGTAATGCACCCAGTTTCCAAAGATATCCGCGATCTCATGCCAGTGCTTGGACAATTCTTCCCGAATGTCAAACGGGTATCCATGAACTACCACAATTGGTGGTACAACGACTCTGAACTGGCACGGCTCCAGCTACTTGAACAAGTGACCGAGCTGGAGTTTGTGTATACGCACAGCACACGGTTCACAAGAGAGCGTCTGGAGAAGAACGGAAAGTTGGACGTCATTCCAGAGTTTGACTTACCAGGGGTGAAGGAGTTGACGATCCGAGGAGGAAATCGGTTGCTCAACAGCTAAATCGTACAGGCGTGTTATAACGCACGGCTCAGCTGATGGACGCATCCAATGAATGATATTTATTTAAGGAATTTCTTGCACTTTTTCTTCTCTGATTATGACCGCTATAAGCACGTACTATTTTACGACCCATATGAATTCTTTTCAGTTATTTCGCAAACTATTACATTGTCCTAACGTTCTTATTACGTGCTGCATGAGAAATTTTCTGGACGATTTTAAGCGCCATCCGACAATCATCAGATAGGGCCCAGGATCTCTCGCCCCAAAATGTCCTAGATTTTGCAAACCGCGGACAAGGGTTGTACATTTTAGCCCTCAAATATGCAAAATCCCAGACAGAGTGAAGATTCCCAGGGCCTTATCAGATACTTCCCTAATAATTCAGTCTCCGAAGTGTGTTCAAAAATAAGCCCTCTCTTCCACACCAGAGTGTACAAGGGAAACCTGCTTTCGTAGAGACAGTCGAGTGATTTCAGATTTGGTTTGTCCACCAGAAATGTTCCGGAAATTTTCTTGTTTTTAGTGGGAAAAAGTTGTCACGTGAGCTTCGGCCTTTCATTTTCGACCACGGTTTTCTGGCCGATGACATGCGTTGAACATTCGGCTATCCAGAGTCAATATTGAACATCTCACAACGTGGGAGACGGCTGTCCCGAGACCATGGTGAATCCACGCCTACATACTCAGTCCCGAATCTTCTTTGCCACCTCACGAGTTCCTGCATCTCTTGGTCCTGATTTGTTAGAATGTTCTCGTTAGCCCCGAAAACACTCGCGTCGACTCATTCGGAGGAAGGTTATTGTGTTTATTCAAGACTGGACACCAGGATACCATCGAGTTAGTTGCATGCACTCAGGGTATACCGGCGGGGCATCTGTGGAGTTGCTATGGAACAAACTGAATGTAGCAGCTGCATTTCGAAAGATGGTGTGGATAGCAAAGGATGCGCTATGTACGACTTGCTGGCTTTTGTAAAGGTGTGTCATTGTGTCATTGATTCATATGCAAGCTTACCTTTACATTAGTCTCATGAATATTCTCGATGCAACAGACCTGAGGATAGCATGTGTGTCTGTCCTCCATTTGCACATTGATCGGATCTGTAGATACAGTTGTCTTTCGCCTTTCGTGTTCCGTCACCTGTTTGAAGACCACCCCATTGATGCGGATGGCCGTTGGCTCTTCCTTGCTGAGCAGAGCGTTTACGTGGGTACTCCCTCCTCAGTGCGCGCCCTTCTCTTTCAAACTTCGTGCGACCTTCCAGGCCTCCTGCTTAGGGACTTGTGCGCGACAGCTCCGACAACTCGCACCGCACAAGAGGGACGATACAAGATTCGTGCATGGTCTATCTGCTACCGTAGCCCCAACCTAGTTCCTTCCCTGGTATTCGATTCCTCTCGTGGCGTCAAGGCCGCGAGCTTTTCTACTTCCACGAGTCCACTCTGGGTCCCCGTGGGATTGCTTATTCGAGGATGTTCAGTTCCCAGCGACCCAGACTCTATCCATAAGGCGAATCTTGCACTGTAAACGAGTAGTGATACCGATTCCAGGACTGAACGGAAAAGACCGGGTGGTGCACTGTCTGTTACCCGAATCGCTTTCGCCATTTGCTTCCAAGTCTGCGTTCCACTGGAACGAGATTACTTACATTCCCATCCAACAGCTGCGACCCAGAATCATCCACTGGCTTGCTAGTAGCACACAACATTCAAGTCAAATCTCTGACGTAAACGAGGAACGACACCAACTCCAGACCGAACGCAGACGAATTAGAGACCACTCTCGGCTGAACGCAAACATGTGCTCCGCCCATCGCTCTTGCATCGACGCAGCAGTACACCTGGCCAGAACATGGAACTAGCTGTTGGTACGTGTATGCCTCTCAACATGGCTATGGGTCGATGTGTTTTAGTTTGATTTTGTTATACTTACCCCCGTCCTTAGGGCCAGACTAAGCGATGATGAATCGATGGATGTCCGAGTGATGCACTTGTTCTTGCTCGTCCAGTGTCCTCCGTGCGCCGAGTCAGACAGACGTCCCAGCCTTAACGCTTCTTTGGCACACGGTCCGACCGCGACTCGGGTGGACATGTCGCCTTTCAAAAGTTCTAGTTTTGTCTGCCGGCCGTACTTTACCACCGCCGTATGCGATAATGACACTGGGAGATAACGAATAGAGTGCTTGACGCAGGACCCACTCTCCATAATGCACCCGTGACTCGTGACTCGTGCCCCGCCCATATCCGCCGCGCCTTGGCCCCTGCATGGCTTTCTGTAGGATGGAGGGATGTTTCTCCCTCTCAAAGCAGGCCTGATTCTTGTCGATGTTTCCATTTGGCGCTCCTCTTCCTCGTTATATATGCTGTACTCCCCATGGGTAGAAGAATAGGACACTTTGTACTACAGCCTCCATCCTCGACGTGTGACCAGTGCGATTCATTACAAACCATTTCACTGACTTCAAGACCAAGTTCTGATGTACTAAATTACAGTCTAGATGGGTAGCGCACAATACCTAGGTTAATCGATTGATCACCGGTAAGCTACTACACCCTCGTTATAGAGATTTTTGATTTGGACAAAAGTGAAAAAGATCCGAGATTCTCGACTCAGATGTAACTGCATCTCATGCATCACGAAGGAATTGAACCCCCTGCGGGTCGGTAAAAGGCTGCCGCTGCCCCATTGATGCGCCTACTAGTCCCAGATGTCCAGGCCGTTTTGACGCAGGGAGACCCCTCGAGCGTCCACTCACCTTGACCGCACTATTGTTTTAAAAAGTGAATATTTCCCAGACTGAGCAGCACCTTCAATGCTGGAGCCCGAAACTGCTTCGTCTTCGGAGATGGGACCGGTCCCTGCCCTCCAACAATTCGCACTCGCTCCACAACGCCGACCAGGCTGAGGTGCATGCACGGTATATCTCCTTGTTACCACGGCCCTCCTGTCGGTTCCTCCACTATTTGATTCCTTTCGCCCATGTACGTACTGCTTCCACAGGACCCGCTCACAGACGAGGTTGCTTGTCAGAGGACTCGGAGGAACGA